ATTGTTGTTACATCAAAATATTTTAAAATAAAACAAAATTTAATTAAATTGAAAACAAAAACCGTAGCAATAGTAAAAGCAAATGCAAAAACAAAGCCACAAATACACATTCAAACACAAACAAAAAACACTAAAAAGTAAAATGTTAACAATTCAAATAATCTCTCCCACAACCTTTTCATAAATTATTCACCTGTATTTGGGTTTTTCTCACTCTCAAGGTAAAATAACACTCAGACACTCAGTTGTCAGAATTATATTCACCACAGTTGCAAGAGCACAGGTAAACTAGTTTTTTGTCTTTGCCTTGATTTGCTTTACCAAACGCTGGCTGGCTGCTGTTTGTTGGTTAGTCATTGTACATACTATACATGCTTCAGTCTACTTGTATAGCAGAAATATTTGTTATTGCAATGAGTCTTTTTTGTGTTATAATAAAAATATGTGTCTTACGTGACTGCTGATTGCGGTTTAAAACAAAATGTAATGAGAGCACATTGCATTCGCGGCTAAAAGCGTGGTGAGTAAATGAAGCGGCGTAATGATTTGGCTTGGAGTCTACAAATTGTTTGTGCAAAAGCAAAGACAATCTCAGCGCACATTTTGACTACATCCCGCTTCAGAAAGATCGTTCACTGATCGTGGTGTTACCAAAGCGCGTCGCTCGATTTTAACCAAAAACTTCAGTTCAATGGAATTCGTGCTTTAATGCAGACGGTTGTAAGCGGTAAATGAAATACTCGGCGTGATAACCAAAAAAAACCGTCAAGTGATTTTTTATCTGGTTTTTTTTTGTTTAAAATATTTCTTTGAATGTGTGTTGTGAGTTGAAAAACACAAACAAAAAAAAAAAAAATAATGTGTGGGGATATTTTTAATGCCTTTTCTGTGGATTTGTGTGGAAATATTTTCTTTAATAAACTTTTATGTTAATTCGTTACAAAAAAAAATAAATAAATAAATCGTGCTACAACTAACGGTTCGAAAGGCATAATACAAATTGCACTTATTTAATAAATAAAAAAAATATATATTTAATAATATACATTATACTATTTTTAAAATAAAACAAGTTTTTTCTTTTGAAACAAGTTTCTATTTATTTAAAAAGAAATTTTTTCAATCTTTAAAAAAAAAAGAACAAAAGTGAAATGTTTATAGTAAATGACATCATAAAATTTTTATAAAAATTATGAACTTAAAATTATTTTAAGTCAGGAATTTCTTGTTGTTGTAAAAGAACTTCTGAGTTTGCGCAAACGGCAGCTGGCCTGACTTAAACTAACCAAATAAACACATGATTTCTTCTTCTTCTTAAATTCGTGTATCTTTTTCTTGTAATTTTCTGCAGAACCGGTTAAGTTCATTTAGTTTCTTTCAAGCCAATTTTTTCTTTTTTGTTTGCTTCTTACTTCGTGGTTTCCTATAAATTAACCTAATACTTATAATCTTTTTTCAATATGGGTAATGATTGGCATCCGTAAACGTTTTTGCCTACATAAATACACATTATTTTTTCTACTGTTATTTAACTTATTTTATAACAGCTTCTCAAGTTGACATAATTTTGCTTTTAATTTTTTCTCTTAACAAAACATAGATAAATACTTAATTCATATAGCCTCTTATTAATGGAACTCGGTTAATTGGCTCTTGTGACTAATATCATGTTATATTAATTAGTTTTTCATATAAAAAATCTTTTGTGAAATATGCAGTAAAGGAACAGAATTATTAAAATATAAACAAGTTTTAAATTAGATTAAATATATTTTCACATTAATCTAATACTAATTTAATAGGTTTATATACTGCATTCATGGGATTGTACATAATTGAAATGAAGGGCTCATATGGTGTTCACACGAGCACTCGAAATAACTTCAATTTAAATTACTGCCATTTCAAGAAAAATTGAGTAAAAATAGAGTTAATTTCTCTTCACCGCATAAATGTCAAAAAATATTGTTTTAATTTTCTGAAATTAAAATAATTTCTCAGAAATACTGCCTTACCTATATATAATTTAAGTTTTATCTCATAGGCAATACTTTCTTAGATTTTTATGTAAAATTGCGAATTAAACCAATAAACCAATATTAACCAAGAGTAAATATTAATAATATTCACAAACAATTTATTAATATATAATATATAGTCTGTTAAAGATTTACAATCAAAATTTATTCATTTGAAGGTTTTATGAATGAGTGAAAAATGTTTTTTTTATAAAATTATATTTAATTTCTATATAATTATTAAAATAATCATCCAACAAAATTGATTTAATCATAGTGTGGATACAGTTGTGCATAAAATGTCAATTTACAAAGTGATATAATATAATTAAATAACAGTGTGAAAGGAGTTAAGTCATTTAAATTAAGTTCAGTATTATAACTGAATAATAATTAAATAATATATTAATTTGAAGAGTTCATTTTGTTCACAAAAATTTCTGTCAATGAAATTATTAAAGATGCAATACCATCTAATCTAATTTACCGACATAAAGAAATTATAAATTATTATAAATATTTATTGTGTGAGACCACATAAGATAAGAGCATTCAATCTATAATAGAAAAAAATGTATATTCTGTTCACGATATTAACAGGAATGAGAAACATACCGGCTTTTACATGCTTACAACAAAATGTCTTCAAGCCTATTGTAAAAGTTACATTATTATAAAATTTTGGATTAAAAATTTTCAACGATAGTAATATATACTGTCATTATAATTAGCAATGTTAAAAGAGTTTCACGTTTAAGACAGACCTCAAGAAAAAATATTTTTTTAAAATATTGGAAAAATATATTCTATCCATTATAGCTTTAGTGTTTCTATTTCCAAAATATAAATACAAAATGAAAATCTGACATGTGTCCTGAGAATAAGCCAAAATTTATCTTGAAAATTAAGTAAATAAATTTACTTAATGAAAATTTTGTGTCAGCTACAGTTCTCTCTCTTATTAAGCTTTCAATTGATATATGCATACATAGTCGTATATTCGTATATATCTAATTTAAGATAAATTCTAAAGATTTTTAAAAACTCAAAGATATCTTAACTCACATCTTCAAAATATATCATGAATTTCTAATATTAAAAATAAAATCAATAAAAGTATTAAGTAATAAAAACATACATACGATATGTATTTTGGGCATGAAGTATATTTTCAATAGAAAAAGAAATTTTTAAAATAATATTTTGAAATGAATATTGCTAAAATTTACTATAATTTAAAAATATTTTAAGTTTTTTCAAAATTTATGTATTTTAATTTTATTTACTATTTTAATTTTAATTTTTAATACGACCAATTTTATCAATAAGTTTCTTAATTGGACCGATCATTTAACTCATAAAAATGATAAAAAAATTTCATCACAAATTAATTATTAATATATTTAATAATATAATTAATATATTAATATATATAATAATAATTAATTATTTTTGTCATTTATATGTTAAAAAACGCCCTACACTATGAAAATTAAAAAAAACATTATTTATATTAAAATTAATTTATTTAAAACCAAATATTATTTTATTATCAACACACAAAATTGTTTATTTTGAAATTCTTTTGTTGAACTTTTTTTAACTAAATTAAATATATGTTATATATTATATGTATTGATATTACAATTTCAAAATTCGCTTTTAAATTTCTTTAAATTGCCAAATTTGTTTTTCTTTTTTTTAAGGAAATTTAAAAATTGAATTTGATTTTAAAATATTTATTTTTAATATATATAATTTTATAATATTTTTAGGTCCACCCAATACTCCATCTCCCTTATCTGCACTTCGTTGCTCAATCTAGTAGCTGAAAATTATATAGAAAAAAATACTTTATGCAAAATTAATAATTATATAATTGAAGTGAGCACTTTAATTGAGTTGATTTCATATCAATAATTATAAATTTAAAACAATTTAATAAAAAAATATATTTATATATATGTATATAATAACAATATATACATATATATATAATTGTTTAAGAAACGTTTTATGTAGAAAATGGGCAAAAATTAATATGTAAAAAATACACAATATTATATAAAATTACAACATATTTTTAAAATTTAATTTTAAACTTATAATATTAAATTTAAGGACCTGCATATTTTTTATCATAATTAAATATACATGTTAAAATGTAAATTAAAAACATTATTTCGTTAAAAAATTAAACAATTATTTAGAAATAATAATAAATGAAATTTTAAACAAGTTAGTTTTCTCATATATTATTTATTATGTATTACCAGAATAAAAATTTTTAAATATTTTTGTGGGGTCATACCGATCTTTCAAACCAAAAATTAAAAATAAACATTAAAGATATTAGTAAACAAAATAAATCTAAAAATATGAATTTTAAAAAAATATTATCATATTATCATATTATTATCATATTATCATAAGTATAAAAAATATATTTGATATCATTATTTGCTATGATAGATATTATAAAATAATATCATAATTTTATATATATATGAACCATAATTCTAATATACAATTCCGACAATAAATAAAATAGTAAATGTTGCAACAGTAAAAGAGTTGCAAAAGAGAGAGAGTAATGAGAAAAACATATATTATAATATATTATATATTAATAAATAATTAGTGTACTTCAATTTTAATAATTTAATAAAAAATCTTAATAAATTTTCAGTGAATTTCTTTTTGAAAAAATGTGAAATGTGTTCCAAAAAATAAATGAAAATATTAACAATACTCATAATATATAAGGAAAGTTAAAGTGTAACAAAATATTTGACCTAAAATTTCAAATAGAAAATAATTTACATACTGCAAAAGTTTCTTAAGTGAAATAAATCGAGAAATCAATTCGAAAAACGTGTGAAGTAATAAATTACGTCCGACAAAAAAAAAAAATAAAAATAAATTGTGTTGAAAAATATTGTATAGAAATATTATTTAAAAAATATACATATATAAACCCAATATACAAAAAATATATAATAAAAATGCAGTACAATAGAAGAAGGAAATCAACAATATTTCTCATAGCCACAATTTGTGCATTACTTTTATTTGGCTTTAAAATCGCACGTACTGCGGCTGAGACGGATCCAGTTACTCCCGACCATGATGCAAATTTTGATGATATAGCCAAAATAGTAACAACAACGCCAACAATAGATACAACGAATGAAGGTAGCACTACTAGCACCACAAACAGCAGCAGCACGACAAATACCAACGCAGAAGTAACGCCAACTCCAGATCCATTGCACAATACAAGCAGCAGCAGTGCTGTTAACTTGGCTGAGACAACAATTGGCGGTGTTGATAGTTCAACGACTTCTACAACAACGGAATCGTCTGAATTATTACCAACAGCAACAACAACAGCGGCAGCTCCAGCAGCAGCACCAGCAGAAGCAGCAATAAACTCAACTGACAATAGCAACAAATTGGATGCTGCCAATAGTGAGGGTAAGCAACAAAACAGAAACAAGAAATTTTAAATTCTTTAAAATAACAGCAAGAAAACTACAAAAGATTCCATTGTAGAGAAGTTCTAAGCTCAATTTTCAATCAAATGATTTTAATCTTTACTCAATCACTTGGTAAAGATACATTTTTTTTTTGGTTTTCTTTACAGATATGTATATATCTTTTATTTTTTTGGCTTATATGCATGAATTAGTATTTACATTTTTGCCCTTAATTTGTAAGAGTGTATCTCTTTGGCTCATTCGTGGAAACTTTTCTAAATGATTTCTTTTTGTATCTTCTTAAATGGCTTACACTTGTGGTTCAATCTTATAGATTGAAATAAATTGGAAACTAACGTTTCTTCCTTATCTGCTTCTAATGCTGTTTTTGGTTTGTGTTTGAACAAAGCTTTTCGAATTGAGGGCGTGTCTGAAATGTGTTCTTATAGTTCTAGTATGATTAATAAATCATTAAAATATCATAAATGGTAATAAGATAAAAAAAAACTCAATATACATTTATAGATTTTTAATTATGAAAATTTATTTTTTTTTTTCGAAATTGTGCCGCTTTCTTTTCAATTTTTTTAATTTATGTTGTCTTACTACCAAAAAAAAAAATTATAACCAAAAAAAAAAAATATGGAACAGGCGTAACATTTCCTGTTCAGTAATTTAAATAATTACAGCCTTTTACCAATGATTTTCAAAAATTTTTAGAGTTTTTTGTTGAATACTTTTTCGTGATGTCTTTAAAGTTATCAACAAGTTGTCTGCATCGAAAGAAACAAAAATTTTAACTACGCGAAATTTAAGAAATTTGTTTTTTAATGTCAACAAATCTATATAATATTACTTTTATAATATTACGATACGAGTGGATTACAAGTATAAAAATATTTAGAAAGCATTTTTTTTTTAATGATAGATAGTTGTTTATACCACCGATGTGTTTTATTCTTGTAAAAATAATTGCTTCCATTAGAATTCAGTAGAAGAATCCATCAACATGCTTCATACTGATTGAAAAGCTTTTCACTTTTAATAAATTAAAAAAATTGTTGAATAATAAAAATATACTGTCATTGTAATAATAATAAAAAACATATATATTGTTAGTTAAAAATAACATATAACTAATAATTTTTTATTAAGATTTTTTACTAAATGCTTCTTACGCTAAAACGTCTAATAATCAATGTTGTAATAACTCATCGTGGTCTCTTGCCACGAAATATAGTCTTCTTGCCCTACTCCCTTATAAGTGCCCTGAAATTCCGATATGAAATTTAGCCTATTTAAAAGGCCTAAGTGAACACCTAACAACGACAATATGTAGCAGTTACATTAGAGTGGGAAAGATTGTCGATTATTGTGATACTATTTAGAACTGATGTTAACCATAGACTATCCAAGACTATCTCAAAACAGAATAAAAAATACTTCATATTGAATCGATATAATCGATCAATCGATTTTTTGTTATAAGCCTTAATCTAATGTATTATATACCTATCATAATAATAATATATAAACATATATACCCGTGAAATATTTATTATAATACCCAACCGTACACTTCTCGTATATGTATTTATTTATCCATATGTATATGTATTTCTATCTACTTAATTGAAGCATGAATTCTTGAATAAATTCTTTAAGCATTTATGACTAGTCTACGAAGGATTATATATAAAATTAATGTACCTCTAATTTACTAGAGTTATAGTTTATTTCAATTTGGTTCAACGTATCATCCTCTTGATTCTACAATTAAACTCTCACCTTTAGTCCTATAATAAGGTTTTATAACATTAATTCGAAATCAGTCTATCTTTTACATTCTTTATTCTTCTTAGTTTATCTTTTTAGGTATATGCATAATAATAATTTAATGTTCTAAATAATTGTTCAATATATAATTAGAAAAATTGTAAATTGTTTCTATCAGGCAGTCCCCATAAGTTTTTTATTATAATTTAAAATTTTATAACATTTAATCATATTAAGCTAAAATTATTATATGAATATATGTATTGAAAAAAGGGCAAGACCGAAACCAATGTATATTATGTAATATTCATATATATTTGATATACAGTATTCATATATCAATACTGTAAAAAATCTATATAGTAACTACACATCGTCATTCTTGGACTTGGTCTAATACAGACGTTAGGTCTTAGTTAATTTCTTTATTCTATCAAAGAGTATTGCAAACAAAGGGTGTTATACTCTTTGATTTCATTGCCACTAGTCCTTCTTTTCCTTTTTTTCTCATTATCTTAACCATTCGTTTTCTCTTTCTTTCTCTGTGCTCTAAGATAAATAAATACATATTTGTTCTCTCAGCTTAACCCATTTTTACCTTCATTCAGTCTCCTTTTTATACAAAGGACTTTTTATACTTTTTACATACAAAGGTTAAAGGTGCTCTTTTGAAAATTGCTTTTTAATTGCAGCAAAACATTTATCTATATTATTAGTGCCATAAGCCACATAAATTTTTAACTATTGTATTTTTTTTATACACTTTTTATACACTTTTTATAAAACGTTCTTAAAATCAGCAATTTCAAGGGTATTTTCTATAAAAGCCTATAAATGCATATGGATATTTGAATTAAAATTAGAATTACTCATACAGAAAAATTCCAACCTATAAATATCTAAAAAATTCTTCAAAACCTATTGCTCGACTTTTGTTATTGATACGCTCCTAGTACCTAACCTTTTGTTAACTAATGCATTCCAAGAAATCATCTACGAAATACTATAGCCTTGTAAAGTTCCACGCAAGTTTTTGGAAATTACTCACACATACCGCACACCCAGAGCGAAACGCAGTCGAAAATTGCCAGAAATTTTAATAAATCAAATAAAAATTTGACATTAATCAAAGAAGATATCTCACCTAGTTGCTAACCTAACTTGGATTTATAATATATGACATGTGAGCACACATACGAGTATATATGAATACACAACGAAGTTATAAACTAAATCTGGCTAACTCGATATGGCATAACATTGGCGTGGTATTAACAGCATGCGCCAGTAACGAATTTATGCAAATTTCTTGACAAGATTTTAAGGCATAGCCCAAGACTGCCTTTGGTTGTCAAATGATTTATAAAAACAAAGCAGCTTAATTTATTTAAAACAAAACTATATTTTTAGATTTCATTTTGCATATGTTTTATATGTTAATTATATAAACTTAATTTTGTGTTGTATAATTGTTGTCGATAACCTGCTTTTGCGGCGATATTTTTATATCAATAAAATACTAACCTAAATGTCAAGTGTTATGCATTTCAATAATTATCGATATTATTATTAATTAATATCATTATACGAGCAAATAATTTAATAATTAATATTGTTTTTGTTTTCTATTGAAAATGGTTTCAAAACAATATTTAAAAAAATTGTTATATTTTATAATTTATGCATTTCTAGTTTTTAATGAAAATAATGAAACAGTTGATTAACCAGCACTAGAAATAGTAGAAAGTTTAATTCGTTATTTTTTAAATTTATATAATTTTTTTTTAAATTCAAAATGTATTGAAAAAAACATTAATAATTTTAAAATTTACAAAAAATATATTTCTAAGGATTTAATAACAATTTATTACCGGGCTAATTGGTCATTTAAATAGAAATGAAATAACTATAATTTCTTAATTATATTTAAAATCAATCTATCTTGGATAGTCAACTTTAGGGAAAACTGAGGACTTAACAAATTATATTTCCAAAAAAAATTTCTCTTAAAAGCAGAAAAAAACACATGTTGTTTAGTATGGAATCGACAAAAGGACACTATAGCTTATCAGATAAATAAGATAAAAAATTTAATTCATATCAGGTAAATATTACATACTGCTCTTTTTATATAAATATGAGACAATTATTTTTAACTTTTCCTATCATTTTTCGTTAAACCAAAATCAGAAAAGTAGTGCATAAATAAAAAAATTTACTACAATTAATTTTGCAATAGTAATTTTAAAATCACAATACGTGGTATAGCTATTAGAAATAATAAATAATAGAATCACCGCAAATTAGTATTAATATTTTTTTTTGTGGGGTAGGAGATGAAATGGTTTATGCACCATTAAATCGACCGTCATAGGTATGGTGTATCCGGCTCCTACGGTGTAGTATACGAACTAAAATACCCGCTTTTCTTCTTTGGGTTTTCTCCCCTTGGACCGCTTTCGGATTATTGCGGGGAGGATCCCTTATAAATTGGCTATCCATGCCATATGCTTCTTGTAGAAGTGGAAAATCTTCAGATTTTTCTTCGTTTTAAATTAGTTTGCGTCTAGGTCTTTATCTGTTGCACTTTAGAATGGAGCAGAAGCAGTTCAAAATGATTAAAAAATGTGTATTGATTGTGTCAAGACTGATAATTGCTATAGACGAACATGTTTTGTGACTATATTATTATATTGTCTCAAATTTGAATATCTTTTGCATACTTAAGTGAAAAGTTCAGTATTTAAATATCTTTTGCATACTTAAGTGAAAAGTTCAGTATTTAAATACATTGTATTAACCTATGATGATTAAACACTTTATCAGACTATACAAACGAATAAGACAATAAAAGATAAATGTCTTATGTAGTTTTAGACATTTTAGGCAAATTCTTTAACAATATAAAAGTTTATACAATAATGTATCAATAATATATTATATGCTTCATTGCTAAAAATCGTATCAACTCAGCTTATAACATACCTAAATATTATTGTGGAGATAGCAAGAAATATGAGGCCCCCTTCACTAGAAGTGAAAGACAGCAGTAGCGGTAGTAGATGTTTGGTGGGACATATAAGAACATTTTATGATCCATATAGTTTTTATATGATATTTCAAAACACTTTCTCTATTAAGATTGATATATCTTTAAATAACTTTATGAATTCTGTTGTCCATTCAATTTGTGATTTTTGTTTCAAATATCTACAAATATTA